GAAGGGGGGTAGGGGGTGCTAATAGGCTGAAATTAATCAACGACGCCTGATTCGACGCAGAGGGGCGGCTGGAGTGCCAAACAACGTCCGTGAATGCTAATGGCGTTCTTGCTCTCTCGCTCTGACATAATGTGCGCAAGTTTCTGCGGCAGGCTGTAATACGCCGTCGTCCATCCTCGAGTTTCACCGCGCTTCACCTGCTGATGCATGTAAGCACGGTTACACAGCTTGAGGCGAAAAACCTAGTGAATCTTTCCTGTGTAAACCATTTTGTTCAATGTTACACTTCTGTAAATTTAAAAAATTTCTGGTTCAGAGGGATTATTCACCCAAATATGATCATGTACTCATCTTCATGTCATTCCAAAACTGTATGACTTACTTTCTTCTGTTGAAAACAAACCGTGAATATAATTACAGAAAGTGAATAGGACTGTAAGGCTCTAAAAACAAACAATTAAATGGATAGTTTCAGTTCCCACTATAGACCTTATGTAGCTCCGCCCCTTTTCAGTGTTGCTCAAGTTGTCTTCTGTCTATCATTTGTATTTCCACAGCGTGAAGGTAAGCTCATACATTTTAAAATCTTCCCAGTCTGCTGTCATTTGTTAAGACATCCGATTCAAACATTTTAATGCACATAAGTTTTGTTAACTCTACAATAAATAAATCCACTTCACTAGCTAATTACTCTTCAACAGTGATTCTATAGAGCAAACCACAAAAACGGAAGTTCAAAGACAAAAATCTAAAGATTGCACTTGTTTCTCTGATGCATGGTATGAGCGAAAATTACAATGTAAACCAATAGGACCCGAAATGGTTTGTTAGCCAACATTCGGCCAAATGTTTTCTTTTATGTTCCACAGAAAAAATACGCATACAGCATGAAATAACATGACTATCCCTTTAAAAGTACCATAAAAGTCATAAAATATTAAGTGCATGTTTTCTGAAGAAATACAATAGAATTGTGTGACAAACAAACCAAAATTTAAGTTGTTATCCACTACAAATATGGATATCTGTGCTAGCTCATAAAAAGAGCAGGGAATGAAATTAGATCTTTTCAATGAATCAGCTGATCCAGTTCACAAAATTGGTCTTGAATCAAAATGATTCATTCTTGAATCAGACTGATTCAGTTCTCAGGTTAGGCTCACAGATTTAAAAATCTGGTTGCAGCAGAATTCAGTAAACAGTCTTTAAATCCACTTATGATACTTTACAATCTTTTCAGCACTTAAACTCTCCACCTCATTCAATGGAATTACATAGAAAAAGAGGAACCTATCACATTACTGCAAACGTCCTGTTTTGTGTCCTCCTGAAAGTCAAACAAGTTTTGGAAAGACTTAACAAACGAAGGCAGTTTTCATTTTTGGATGAACTAATCCTGTAATAAATGAGGATAGAAAAACTTTTACAGCTCTAACAAGCTGATGGGACGTCTGATAGAACGCTTAGATCCCATGCCGAGTCGGGGTGAGTTCAGATGAAAAGGGGTGGGGTGCGGGGGGCGTGGTGGCGGTTTATCACCTGTCACGCTAGCAGAAGTCAGCGAGTGTGAACAGTATGTGTTGTTTGTGCTGCGGAGTGATGGGTGTTTTTTCTGTCTCTATCCTCGACGAACAAAGGGCTCTTTTCTTCGGCAGGCTCTCCTGATGGGGCTGCGGTGGTGCACGGGGCCCCTCTGTTCTCAGCGCAGCCGCGGCACTGAAAGAACAGCTCTCACCTCCTCCGGAGAGGCAGACAAAAAGCAACTCACAGACTCAGAATAGCTGCCTTTCAGAGGGCCGGCCACGCCACAAAGTCCTGCCAACATGCCATGACTGAGCCATTCTCTACCCCACTTCACCCCCCAACCCCCAACCCAACAATGCCAAGGGCATCTACATGTGGGCAAAAAGGAAACGGTATTGATTTAGGAACATCAAATGCTGGCCAGGAAAATGAACCTCATATTAGCACACACAATTATATTTAGCGGGATACATAATGGCACAGACGCACACACACATTGTCCCCTTGCCAGCTCTCTGTAGGCCTGTCTTCAGAGGGGACTTTGGGAAAGAAGGGAGAGACAGGAAAAGTGGGTCATACATGGCGAGAGGAAGAGAAAGAGTGTGAGAGAGAGGGAGGTAGAATTCCCCTGATCAGGGCAAATGGATCAGTCACAGGCCTTGTTGCTTTCATCTGTTCTCAGTGGACAACTCAACCTGGGACACACACGCTAACACATGTACCCAGACACACTCGAACAAACGCTTTGTGCCATACAATGCTGTTATTTTCAAAAAACAGCTAAGTATGTGAGGACTGATAGACACTGATAGACAGACAAAAGAGAGACAAAAACATTTTGGACAGGGTGAACAAAAACGTTCACCACTAGGGACAAAAGTTGATTACTAGGGATGTGAATCATAAAAAAAAGAACAATTGTGACTCTCAATCCTTAAAGATAAACAAATATTTTAGTACTTTTAAGGAATCAAATCATTCTGTTCTGTAATTCTGTTCTTTAGGTCAGTGAGCCACTCCGAACAACTGAGTGAGGCATTAGATTGATTCAAACGAATAACTGAGGCTGTTTTGTGAGTCTTCTTGACCAATTCATAAAATGACTGACTACTGTTTACAAATCAGAC